CTGTCGGGGGCCAAGCCGCGCGGAAGACCAATCAGCTGGGACGGCTGGCGGCCTTGCGCCGCCCACGTCCTCGTCTTCCGTGGATCTGGAGGCTGAGACGCAGCTCTATGTATCAACGAACTCGTCAAAGTGTGTGAGTCTAGAGGCGGCAGCTCAGCGCATGAACCTACGCCGAGTGCCTCCTCCCGAAAATGCGCACCTGGAGGCGGAAGCGGGCTGTACATCTCTCCATCAAAGCGCCATCCAAGGCGAGGACGGCAGACTTGACGCCGAAACCGAGTTGTATATCTCTCCGTGAAATTGCATCCACGTCGCCGACATACGGCGGTGAATGCTGCAGCCCATCCGCCCGTGAGTGCCGCCGCTGAGCCGGATCCAGGACGGTCACCAGGTGGTCGGGCAGGGCCGCTGTACACCTCGCGCGCCTGAGAGGCACAGCACGGCCGGCAGCCGCCCCCCGGACGAAGACTGCGGTGTCGATCTGGACGCGGCTACTCAGGTGTGCCAACCGAGGTGTGACAACCGCGCGGACTTGAGTGCTGTGGATCTGGACGCGGCTACGCAGGTTGTACCAGCCGAAGTGTGACAACCGCGCGGACTTGAGTGCTGTGCTGGACGCGGCTACCCAAGTGTACCAGCCGAAGCGTGGCGACCGGGCGGACTTGAGTGCTGTTGATCTGGACGCGGCCACCCAGGTGTACCAGCCGAAGTGTGACAACCGCGCGGACTTGAGTGCTGTGGATCTGGACGCGGCTACCCAAGTGTACCAGCCGAAGCGTGGGCGACCGGGCGGACTTGAGTGCTGTGGATCTTGACGCGGCTACCCAAGTGTGCCAACCGAGGCGTGATAACCGTGCAGACTTAAGTGCCGTGGATCTGGACGCGGCTACTCAGTGTATCAACCAAGGTGTGACAACCGCGCAGACGCATGTGACGTGGATCTTGACGCGGCTACCCAGGTCTATGAGCCCGAGGTTGTTGACCGCGAACGAGCCTGCGATGTGGATCTCGGTGGGACTAGCCGGGACCGCGAGCGGAGTGGTGGCCGTCGCACGGAGACCTGTGGCGTGGACCTGGACGCGGCCACGCAGGTTTACCAACCGGAGGACGGACGCAGTGTCGAAGCGTGCGACGGGGACCTGGATGCGGCTGCCCAAATCTACCGGCACGAGGGCTGCAGTCGTTCGACCGCTTGCGACGTCGACCTTGAGGCGGCCACTGAGGAGTACCGACCCGACGTTCAGACCGGACCCGGCCTGGACTCGGCCGCGGCGCCGCACTCTCCCGCCACTGGCGGCGGCGCGCTGCTGACCTACGCCGAGACCGACTCGGACACGGACATGGAACTGACGCAGCCGTTCGCGCCGACCGCGGCCGGCGCCGCGCCGCGCCGCCGGAGAGCGGCAGCGAGACGGCGCTCAGCGGCGACGAGAGATGGACACCGGCCGGCGCGGTCCGGCCGCCGCGGCTGCGTCCGACAGCGAGACAGATATGGACGAGGGAGCCGCGCCCCGGGCAGCAGCTCTGCACGGACGGGATCGCGCGGAAGGCTCTGTACGCGGGCGACGTCACGGACGAGGAGGAGGTGCCCGGCCAGGTGGCGGGCGCCGGGCGGCGGCCCGTCGGCCGGCCCCCGGCGAGAGACGCCGTCGCTCGGCGCCGGCGCTGCGGCGGACAGCCAGCGGCCCGCGCGGCTGGCCGGCACGCCTCCTCGCCGGGGAGGATCCCCCACCACAGCGACGTCGACGCGGACGACGAGGAATGACCACCTCGAGCGGCGGAGGAAGGCGGCCTGTTCGGGTGCGGCGGAAAGGGACACGTGAACTGCGCGATAGTCAGTGGGATGTGGAAACCCGGACCGGAGCGCCGGTCTGGCGAAGCGATGCTGAGCCACCAAAAGGAAATGCACATATTGACACGGAAGATGATATGCAACCCAAACGAGGGCTGCCGGTTATTCAGGCACAGGAAAAAAACGATTAAGTGTCGTGGCGACAAAGATGATCTTACTGGCGGCTCGAAAGAGATCACCCTGTACTTCTAGATCGCGAGTAGGGATGGGCAGTTCCGACGAAGATGATCTTGAGACTCAAAGGAGATTGCCGGCCCACCAAAACCGGAAGTAAATGTTGAGAGTTTCGATAATGAAGACCTGATTGAGACTCAGAAGCGTTTGCACCACGCACCAAGATTGGTGAGAGGCGCAGATGGTTTTGACAATGAAGACCTGAAGACTCTGAAGAGATTGCCTGCTCCCCCTTGTTCGCAAGGAGTGGTGGAGGGGTCTGATGACGAAGTAGAATCTCGAGAGTCAGAAGAAGTTTCCTGCCCTGTCTGACAATTCTCAGGTAAAGGCACAGGACTCCGACGAAGACGAGGTCTATTTGAACTCGAAAGAGATCTCCAGTCCCCCGTGAGCTCACAAGGATACTGCAGAGGTCAACGACGGCGATGAGGGCCGCATCAAACTCAGAAGAGACCGCTTAGGTCCCCTCAATATTCGCGACAAAATGTGCAGTTTCTCGACGACGATGAGGACCTCATCGAGACTCAGAGAGGGTGGCAGTCCCTTCACGCTTGCGGGAAGCTACAGGGGCCTCCGAATGATGAGGAACCTTATCGAGACCCCGAAGAGAGCGCCAGTCCCTTCACGCTTGCGGGAAGCTTAAAGGGCCTCCGATGATGAGGCCCTTATCGAGACCAGAAGAGAGTGCCAGTCCCTTCACGCTTGCGTGGAAGCTACAGGTCCTCCGATGCATGAGGACCTTATCGAGACACCAGAAGAGAGCGCCAGTCCCTTCACGCTTGCGGGAAGCTACAGGGGCCTCCGATGATGAGGACCTTATCGAGACCCAGAAGAGAGTGCCAGTCCCTTCACGCTTGCGGGAAGCTACAGGGGCCTCCGATGATGAGGACCTTATCGAGACCCAGAAGAGAGCGCCAGTCCCTTCACGCTTTCGGGAAAGTGCAAAGGCCTCCGATGATGAGGACCTAATCGAGACCCAGAAGAGAGTGCCAGTTCCTTCACGCTTGCGGGGGAAATGCAGACTCCGCCGATGATGAGACCTTATCGAGACCCAGAAGAGAGCGCCAGTCCCTTCACGCTTTCGGGAAAGTGCAAAGGCCTCCGATGATGAGGACCTCATCGAGACCCAGAAGAGAGTGCCAGTCCCTTCACGCTTGCGGGGAAATGCAGGGGCCTCCGATGATGAGGACCTTATCGAGACCCAGAAGAGAGTGTCAGTTCCTTCACGCTTGCGGGGAAATGCAGGCTCCTCCGATGATGAGGACCTTATCGAGACCCAGAAGAGAGTGTCAGTCCCTTCACGCTTGCGGGAAAATGCAGACTCCTCCGATGATGAGGACCTCATCGAAACCCAGAAGAGAGTGCCAGCCCATTCACGCTTGCGGGGAAATGCAGAGGCCTCCGATGATGAGGATCTCATCGAGACCCAGAAGAGAGTGTCAGTCCCTTCACGCTTGCGGGAAAGTGCAAAGGCCTCCGATGATGAGGACCTCATCAAGACCCAGAAGAGAGTGCCAGTCCCGTCACGCTTGCGGGGAAATGCAGGGGCCTCCGATGATGAGGACCTTATTGAGACCCAGAAGAGAGTGCCAGTTCCTTCACGCTTACGCGGAAGTGTAGACTCCTCCGGTGATGAGGACCTTATCGAGACCCAGAAGAGAGTGCCAGTCCCTTCACGCTTGCGGGGAAATGCAGAGGCCACCGATGATGAGGACCTCATCGAAACCCAGAAGAGAGTGTCAGTCCCTTCACGCTTGCGCGGAAATGCAGACTCCTCCGATGATGAGGACCTTATCGAGACCCAGAAGAGAGTGTCAGTCCCTTCACGCTTGCGGGGAAATGCAGGCTCCTCAGATGATGAGGACCTCATCGAGACCCAGAAGAGAGTGTCAGTCCCTTCACGCTTGCGGGGAAATGCAGACTCCTCCGATGATGAGGACCTTATCGAAACCCAGAAGAGAGTGTCAGTCCCTTCACGCTTGCGGGAAAGTACAAAGGCCTCCGATGATGAGGACCTCATCGAGACCCAGAAGAGAGTGCCAGTCCCTTCACGCTTGCGGGGAAATGCAGGGGCCTCCGATGATGAGGACCTTATCGAGACCCAGAAGAGAGTGTCAGTTCCTTCACGCTTGCGGGGAAGTGTAGACTCCTCCAATGATGAGGACCTTATCGAGACCCAGAAGAGAGTGCCAGTCCCTGTCACACCTCCGATGATGAGGACCTCATCGAAACCCAGAAGAGAGTGTCAGTCCCTTCACGCTTGCGCGGAAATGCAGACTCCTCCGATGATGAGGACCTTATCGAGACCCAGAAGAGAGTGTCAGTCCCTTCACGCTTGCGGGGAAGGACAGAGGCCTCAGATGATGAGGACCTCATCGAGACCCAGAAGAGAGTGCCAGTCCCTTCACGCTTGCGGGGAAATGCAGGCTCCTCCGATGATGAGGACCTTATCGAGACCCAGAAGAGAGTGTCGGTCCCTTCACGCTTGCGGGGAAATGCAGACTTCCCCGATGATGAGGACCTCATCGAAACGCAGAAGAGAGTGTCGGTCCCTTCATGCTTGCGGGAAAGTGCAAAGGCCTCCGATGATGAGGACCTCATCGAAACCCAGAAGAGAGTATCAGTCCCTTCACGCTTGCGGGAAAGTGCAAAGGCCTCCGATGATGAGGACCTCATCGAAACCCAGAAGAGAGTGTCAGTCCCTTCACGCTTGCGGGGAAACACAAAGGCCTCTGATGAGGACGTCATTAAGACTCAGAAGAGGTTACCAGCCTCCTCGCACTCGCGACTAACTGGAGTCAGCCCTGGCGACGGAGAAGATGGCGTGATAACCCAGGAGGGGTTGCTGGCTCCAGTCCAGTGTGCAGGCGCCTCAAAGCCTGGCCACTCGGACAGCGAGGACTGCCTGTCGACTCCGGGCGTGATCTCGGTCAAGTCTGCCGCGAGCGCGGGCGAGGTGGGAGACGCTGAGGACATGGTGGCCACGCAGCGGATGGCGTCACCGCCAGCGGCGACGGGCGTCCACAATACCTCGGGCTCGGAGCTGTTCCTCTCGCCGAGCCGCCACGCCAGCAGGGAGAGCGAGACGCAGGAGACCCGGCTGCTGCCGCCGAACTCGCGGGACGTGCTCCAGGTGCTGCGCATGACCGCCTCGCCGCGGCCGTCGCCGCTCTCCGAGCGGCCCGAGTCGGAGCTGGACTCGAAGTTCGCGACGCAGCCGCCGGCGCACGCGTCGCCGGTCGGCCGCCGGCGGCTGCTGTTCCAGGACGAGGCTCCGGAGCGGGGTGTTGCGTCGCCTGACAGAGACCACGATATGGACAGCACGGCAAGCTCCATGGCGAAGGACGAGGCGCGGCCCTCTGAGGGCATGGCGGGGGCGGCGGCAGGCGAAGCCGAGGTCGCAGCGAAGGCCGGGGCCGCGGGGGTGGCTTCTGAGGGTGAAGAGCATGTCGGCCAGACCCGCGAAGTCGACACCGGCACGCGAGGCAGCGCATTTGGCGAGACTGCACGCGCTGAGACGCGGAGGGCACGGCACGGTCGTCGTAGTAACGTTCTCGACAATGAAGTTCACCAATGTGCAGAGCCGACTGTGTGTGCTGCCCCGGCCGCCGCGGGGGCGGCAGTTGCTGCAGGGACCGGTATCGCCACGCCACCCAGCACGCGCTGTCGCAGGAAGCTGGCTCTCGTGCCCGACCAGAACCCAGTCTCTCACCGCTCGCCTCAGGGCACGGACCGTTCTCCGATCATCACGGCGATTCGCAGCCGGCGAGGGAAGCCGGCGCCTCAACGTCAACCGCCGCCGGCCAGCACAGAGCATCTGGAACCGTCCGTTGTTTTAAAGCGGATGCATGAGGCAGGACGGCAACGGGAGCGCACTGCCGAACGTTCCCAAGAGATTGCGCGTACGGAGGGGCCACGACCTCTCGCGAGCGCCGCCGGAGCTCGTCCACGGGCCAGACGGACGTCTCTTTCGGCGGCAGCGGCCGCGGCCGGCAACCCCGAGAGGAACGCCGAAGCTCAAGCTCCAGCCCCAGCTCGGGGCCGCGGGAGGAAGCGGAAACCGGTGGCGCCCGGTCCTCAGGACGGCGCGGCAACCACTTCCGCACCCGCAACAGCGGCAAACGAAACGTCCAAGGGGACCCGGTTAGAGGCGGCGACGGAGGTCCAGCGCACGTCGAGCCGCCGTGCGCGCGCGCCCGTCAAGTTTTCGCCCAGCAAGCCGTCGGAAGGCAGTCAAAAGAGGCGTCGCAGCGGGGCGGCGAGCGAAGGCGGCGCCGACGGTGCGGAGGCCGCGCCCGGCCCGGCCTCCAAGCGGTGTCGGCCGGACGTCTCCCCCACCGCCAGTCGGCGTGGTAGACACAGTCACGGGCGATCCGTCCCGGTGAAGGTGGAGTTACCATCGGACTCGGACGCCAGCCCCGTCTTCATAGGATTCAAGCGTGACACGACCGCCAGCACGGCGGCGGCGCCACCGGAGGAACCGCCGCCCCCGTCCCCGTCACCGCCACCGAGTCGTCGGGCTCGACGGATCGCCGCGTTCGACGCGGCCCCGGCGGCGCCGGCCGAGTCGTTGCGACCGCGCGCGAGGAGCAGCCCCGCGGACGGCCGTGTCGTGCTTCCGGCCGTCGGGCCGTCGGCGGCGGCTGCGGTGGCGGCTGCGACCGCGACTCCGCCGCGAGCGAGGAAGGCCACGCGGGCCACGCGGGCCACGCGAGCGAAGGACCCACGGCAGGACGGAGCACCGGTCGCGCCGGCCACGCCGGCCGAGGCTGGGGCGGGCTCCAGGACGACCCGGTCCCGCGGAGGCGGTGCGGCGCAGAGGCGAGCGGTGGTGAAGGCAGAGAGGGTCCCGGCCGAGCCCTCCCCCGCCCACGTCCCTAGGCATGACCGCGGCCGCGGGGCTGCGCCGCGCCCGCCGCAGGCGACGGAGGAGGTGGAAGAAGACGCTCCGCCATCGTCCGCAGCCACCTCCAACCGTGGCCGCGGCCGCGGGGCCGTCCGGCGCACGACGCGGGCAGCGGAGGAGGTGGTACAAGACGCTCCGCCATCGTCCGCAGCCACCTCCAACCATGGCCGCGGCCGCGGGGCCGTCCGGCGCCGGACGCAGACAGCGGAGGAGGTGGAAGAAGACGCTCCGCCATCGTCCGCAGCCACCTCCAACCGTGGCCGCGACCGCGGGGCCGTTCGGCGCCGGACGCGGACAGCGGAGGAGGTGGAAGAAGACGCTCCGCCATCGTCCGCAGCCACCTCCAACCGTGGCCGCGGCCTCGGGGCCTTCGCCAGAACCGCCAGGACCAGCCGACGTCGAGCGGCCGATGACGGTGAGAAGCGGGTGGCGCGTAGGTATCTGTAAAGTTGAATGCTGTCGTTGTTTTTAGATAGTTGGAACGGTGCCGTCCGCGACTGTGGGCTGGTCTTGACGGCAAACATTCAGAGGTACTGTCTGACTGAGAACCGGAATGCAAACTGGCGCTGATTTTTGACGAAAGGGTCAGAAGATCCAGAGTGTGACCTGAGGCGCAATGGCTGATGCCTATCCTATCAGCCAACTTTCCACTGCCATTGCGCACTGCATGCATCGGGTTGCGTGACTTGGTTGTACGTGCGGCATCCTTCCACCATTCCCCACAAACGTATGGTTTTTTGTTGATATATCGAATCTTATTTTTCCATCAAACCTTTTACGTCGGGTTTTGTATTCGGCTTTCTCCAGCCTTGCAGTCAGACGCGCGAGAGACGTGCCTGGTCCAGCCATTGCGAGTTTGTCGACTAATTCGCCCGCGCGCTGAGCCTCGCTTAGTATCGTGACGCTTTTCTTCAGACACGGAATCCGATTCGAGGCATGAAGACAGCTCTGTCGTCACTGTCTCCTCCCAAGTGGTGAGTTGGAATCGACGTGTGCTTCATCACGTCATCTGTTTTGCTCTTCTTACGGCTGTCGCAAATACAGTGAGCCGCGCCGCCAGGGCGACAGAGGAGCTGATCAAAAGAGCGCGGAGGTTGTGCTTCGGCCCGCTGTGCGTGTGCCGCCTGATGTCTGTCGCCCCTGCCAGGACACTGCCGCGTCGTGCCGCGTGCCCCAGCGCCGCGTGGCGCCCCGTCCAGCGTGTGTAGAAGTGTGCGCTCGTGCCGGCAGTCGCTGCGGTCGGTGGGGGGATCTCGTCGCGGCGCCTCGGCGCGCGGCCGACCCCGCGTGCTGTTTACCGGCTTCTCCAGCCCGCAAAACGAGCGCGCAGTGACGGCGCTGGGTAAGCAGGCCGGCGGCTCCCGGCCGGCCGCCGCTGCGCCGGTCGGTCCGGCGTGTCTCATCATCATCTCATCTCATCTGACGGACGCGCGTTGGTATGGAGGCAGGGAGGGGGAGGAGGCTGCTGGAACGGAGCGTGGGACATGTTGTGGGACGTCTCTGCCAGCTTTCCTGCGCTGTTAGCTCGCGACTCCGTCAGCGATCGCTGGTGATTCGGTACCGTTGGCGGGCGCGGACTGCGCCTGACGAACTCGGCGTAGGCGGAGCCGCAGCTAGCTTCACTGCTAGTGGATCACGGCCACACCGCCGGCTACGTGTTTGTGTTGCTCCTGTCGCACGTGACTTGTTTGCAATGCCCTGCCGTGTTACACCTGCTTTCGCCCTGTGGGTGGGGGGTGAGGGCTTCATGTTTTGCATCTTGCAATAGCTAATGTATCTGAGAATGACGCTGCAGCTATTGCAGTTTCCCGATGCTGGAGTCGGAGCATGATCATCCCTTCAATGTGTGTCGAAAACACTGGTGTCCTGGTGACGTGTCGCTTCGGATACGTTCTTCCGCTCTGCCCGCACGGTATCGCGGACGGGTGGGATGATTGTTGTTCATTTTCTTGGCGACAGGTGGCGAGATGGTCAAGCGGCCTGCTGAGTGTACGGTTCTCGTCACGACGGAAGTCAAACGGACAATCAAATTTATGGCCTGCTTCGCACGAGGCATTCCTATCGTATCGCCGGCGTGGCTGACCAAGTCCAAGCAAGCAAAGTTCTTCCTGGGTAGGTGAATGCGTTTTTGCAATGTATTTTCCCATGCACACTTCCATTCCATCCACTTGTCCTGTGGCTCCTTGAAACGCATCTGGTCGGGCTGCTCTTCTGCCTCTCGGTTGGCAAACATTGCACATGACATCCTGCAAAGTGGACTTTGTGTGCACCGTTCTCATGTGGACTCCTGGGCACGCCTCGTCAAAACGACGTCTCCTCCCAGGTCAACCGCACTGTCCTCGACAAGCCGACGTCTCCTCCCAGGCCAACCGCACTGTCCTCGACAAGCCGACGTCCCCTCCCAGGCCAACCGCACTGTCCTGGTCAAACCGACGGCTCCTCCCAGGTCAACCGCACTGTCCTCGACAAGCCGACGTCTCCTCCCAGGCCAACCGCACTGTCCTCGACAAGCCGACGTCTCCTCCGAGGCCAACCGCACTGTCCTGGTCAAACCGACGTCTCCTCCCAGGCCAACCGCACTGTCCTGGTCAAACCGACGTCTCCTCCCAGGCCAACCGCACTGTCCTCGACAAGCCGACGTCTCCTCCCAGGCCAACCGCACTGTCCTGGTCAAACCGACGTCTCCTCCCAGGCCAACCGCACTGTCCTGGTCAAACCGACGTCTCCTCCCAGGCCAACCGCACTGTCCTGGTCAAACCGACGTCTCCTCCCAGGCCAACCGCACTGTCCTGGTCAAACCGACGTCTCCTCCCAGGCCAACCGCACTGTCCTGGTCAAACCGACGTCTCCTCCCAGGCCAACCGCACTGTCCTGGTCAAACCGACGTCTCCTCCCAGGCCAACCGCACTGTCCTCGACAAGCCGACGGCTCCTCCCAGGCCAACCGCACTGTCCTGGTCAAACCGACGTCTCCTCCCAGGCCAACCGCACTGTCCTGGTCAAACCGACGTCTCCTCCCAGGCCAACCGCACTGTCCTGGTCAAACCGACGTCTCCTCCCAGGCCAACCGCACTGTCCTCGACAAGCCGACGTCTCCTCCCAGGCCAACCGCACTGTCCTGGTCAAACCGACGTCTCCTCCCAGGCCAACCGCACTGTCCTGGTCAAACCGACGTCTCCTCCCAGGCCAACCGCACTGTCCTGGTCAAACCGACGTCTCCTCCCAGGCCAACCGCACTGTCCTGGTCAAACCGACGTCTCCTCCCAGGCCAACCGCACTGTCCTGGTCAAACCGACGTCTCCTCCCAGGCCAACCGCACTGTCCTGGTCAAACCGACGTCTCCTCCCAGGCCAACCGCACTGTCCTCGACAAGCCGACGGCTCCTCCCAGGCCAACCGCACTGTCCTGGTCAAACCGACGTCTCCTCCCAGGCCAACCGCACTGTCCTGGTCAAACCGACGTCTCCTCCCAGGCCAACCGCACTGTCCTGGTCAAACCGACGTCTCCTCCCAGGCCACCGCACTGTCCTGGTCAAACCGACGTCTCCTCCCAGGCCAACCGCACTGTCCTCCGACAAGCCGACGGCTCCTCCCAGGCCAACCGCACTGTCCTGGTCAAACCGACGTCTCCTCCCAGGCCAACCGCACTGTCCTGGTCAAACCGACGTCTCCTCCCAGGCCAACCGCACTGTCCTGGTCAAACCGACGTCTCCTCCCAGGCCAACCGCACTGTCCTGGTCAAACCGACGTCCCCTCCCAGGCCAACCGCACTGTCCTCGTCAAACCGACGTCTCCTCCCAGGCCAACCGCACTGTCCTCGAATACATCAGATTAGTGTGTTCGTACCTTCACAGTCGCCAGGCTAACCTGAACCTAGTCTAGCGTACCAATAACCGCGCCGTTGCATTTCTTTTCACCGTTTTACATAGCAGAAAGCAGAGTTGTCGATAGCTAGGCGGCCAGGTGAGGCCTTGCTGATCTCCGCTGACCGCCGAAGGCTCGCTTCGGCCGCCAGATCCGTGGGAGTTCCTCGTGCGCGACGGGCCGGCCGAGAAGAAGTTTGGCTTCCATCTTGACCTGAACCTGCGCAAGGCAAGCCGCAGCGCCCATCCGCTGCTGCGCGGCTGGTCGTTCTACGTGACGCCGCACGTGGTGCCGCCGCCGGACCAGCTGCGAGGTGAGCGTTGACACGGACACGGGCACGGACACGGGCACGGACGCGGGCACGGACACGGACACGGACACGGACACGGACACGGGCACGGGCACGGACAGGCGGCCAGCGATTTGTCTGGGGAGGGGGTGGGGTGAGAGGGATTAGTTTGCTTGGTTCGCGCGGTCCATCGCTTAAACGAAAACACATATTACAGTGGCGGGCGAGCGGCCCCGGCGCCAGCGCCCGGGAGTGGCCCACATTACAGCGCTGTCTTGACAGATGTGGATCACGCTGACCAACGCCAATAGGTCTGATGTGCGTATCACTGCTGATCTCGGCAGCGGTGAAGTGCTCTTTGTCCCTGATCCCCTGCCTTCAGAGATAAGGTGTCCGTGACACTGAGCCTCCAGTGCCCAGAGATGCGGAGCGGTCAACCCCTCCCTCCCCCCCCCCCCTGCAGAGATGTGAAATAATGACATAAGTTGTTAGGTGCATTTCCGACGAACATTATGCATGTAGATAAGACGGTGGTAATATCGTTGTATCGTTATTCCTCGGAGAAAAACCGGAAGAATGAAGAAATAGTGCGTTGGTGTTTCGGCAACATGCATTTATCGAAATGAATAAAGGCATGTTGCTTCGTTTTGATGAACGCATATTGCCGAAATACGAACGAATCTATTTCTCCATTCTCCAAGTTTTTCTACGAGGAATAAGGTTGTTACTTCTGTCTTAAGTAGATATAAAATATTCCATGTCATTCATTTTAATCGGTTAAGGCGTCTGCGTTAACCGCTGCGCGTCTGGGAATCCAGATGTATGGGGTTCGATTCCCCGTGGCGCCCGCCCTTTCTGCCAGGGTGAGAGGCAGGTGACACCATATAGCCTTAGCAGCTGGGTGCGTCGTAAAAGCCCCAAATGACACCCGCCCGCTGTGTACCACCGAGATCGTGCAGCACTCCGTGACGGGGCTCCACATCGGCAGAGATCGTCGAGTGCGCCGGCGGCGTGTTCCTGGCTGGACCGCCGCGCAGTGCGGCCGACCGGCTGCTGGTGGTCTCGTGCGTGGCCGACACGGCCAGCTGGACGGCGGCGCGCCGGCTCCACCTACCGGTCGTGTCGGCCGAGCTGCTGCTCAGCGGCATCCTCCAGCAGCGGGTGGACGTCGACGCGCACCGCCTGTTGGCCTGAGCCGAGCGCGCCCCGCCGGCGACGGTCGAGGGGTCCCGGCCAGCGGTGGCGGCCAAGTGCCATTGTACCTGGTTGAGCTGGCGCGAGGCAGGACGGTACAGGGGCCACAGCGGTGGTTACCAGCCGTTCTGTAGGGGCACGCGTGAGTGGTTCAGGGCGGTTTGGAGGAACAGTGTGTGCCAAGTCGAGCGCCCTCCCGTCTCTCGTGATATTGATGAGAACGTGGGCTGTTTGTGAGGTGTGGTGCCATGCACAGTGCAGAGCGACTGCGTCAGGGCTGCTCGATAGCATACTAACGCGGATTGGAATTATGACAAGCTTCAGATCTGCATGTGCATTAGGCAGGAGGACTTTTCGATACGCTTGGCTTCCAGTGAAAGTATCCTCGTGAACGTGCGACAAAATGAAGTGTACCTGATCATGGGATGTGGAAGGTTGGATGGGATAATGTGGGATTATTTTTAGTGATATGCGAAGTGCTGTTGCATGAGTATGTGTGTCTTGTCCTTGCGAGGAAAATAAACGGAATAATTTTTCATGTTCACATAGTTTGCAGTTGGGATACATCTTCGGGCCCTGTCAAGAACAAGGGCACGCTTTTTGGCAGCGTGCATGCACACAGATGTACGTCCCACAGGAAAACGCGTACAGAATTACTTAATGTATTAAGTTTCCTAAACGCGATGTACCACTGCCACGTCTTTCCATAACCTGCTCACTGGCCCTGCCTGCGCAACAGGTGGATGTGCCGGAGCCGCACGCGTGGCCATTCTCACGAGCCAAACTGCGGCGCAAGCTGGACCTGGAAGCTCACGTTATGGGTTTAAACATCCGCTTGCATCGGTACCGAACCGGCGTGATGTTCGAAAGGCACAACGAGCTGTAAGTTCATATATAAACCACTACTGATGCCCCAGTGTGTCGCTGTCTTGTCATTGGCACCGTCGCGCGCTCGGTTTGAGGACTGCCGTTATCGCGCCTACAAGACAGCACGGGGGCGTAGGGTTCATACAGTGGAGTGAGAACCATCCATGCAGTCCAAACACGTGAGCTCTGGCGGCACTGCTGTCGTCTAGGGCGACGTGCGGTCTTGCGTGCTCGCCGCTTCCGCTGCGTTCGGCGACAGCTCAGGGCGGGGCAATTACCTCGCCATCAATGTGACGCTCTTTCGCGATTGACATAAGATGGGGTTCTCGTACCTTTGCGGCCGGTCTGTGGCGACCTGTGGCACAATGGACAACCACGCCACCTCTGCCGGTATCCGACATAATTGACTAACCTCACGTAGGTCATAGCGAGGGCCTGTGGAGGCCTGGGCCGAATGGGCTTGTTCTGGTTTCGCCGGCAGTCAGTGCCGATGAAGTCCGGTAACCTGCCCACCAGCATATGACTGGACCATATGGGATGGACCATAGGCCGGACATTGACGCTACTGTGCAGACTCGCAGCAACGAGTCATCTCATCAGCACGGCTGCATCTCACCGGAGACGAGCTCACAGCAGCGCCGTGCGTGAACACAAACCGGCCTCCTCTCGCCCGCGCGCGCGCAGCGCCGCCTACAGCGTGGTGGTCTGCTGCGTGGCGGTGATGCCCTCGCGCTCGAGCCGCTTCAGCACAGGCCGGAAGATCTCCGGCGAGAGCGGCAGCACCATGCCCCTGCCCTGGATCTCGCCGTCGATCACCATCTGCGTGGCGATGGCGCACGGGTAGCCGACCGTCTTGGCCATGGCCGAGAAGCCACCGGGCTCGCCGTACGACACCAGGTTGATGCCACGCCGCTCCTGGCGCTTGTCCGGCCAGGCGATGTCGATCTCGTGGCGCAGCACGACCAGGTCCCGCTCGCCGGGGCCGTAGCGCAGCCGCTCGGCCAGCTGCTCGCTCAGCGAGTGCAGCAGCGAGCCGCGCTTGCGCACGGGCGCGTCGCTCAGCAGGCCCAGCTGCTCCATGGCCCGCACGCGCTCCTCGCCACCGGCGCGCTGCGCCAGCTGCAGGCGCAGGTTGTCGTAGAAGATCTCGTCCGACTGGCCGAGCAGGTTGCAGATGAGCTCGTGCCAGGTGATGTCGGGCCCGCCCGGGTGCACGGCCGGGTGACTCTCCTCACTGAGCAGGCCCAGCTCCTGCAGGCCGAGCACCGCCTCCGAGTAGCCGCAGTAGCGCAGCGTGCCGCGCAGCAGCGTCTGTCGGAAGGAGCCAGGCATCAGACGCGTCAGTACACGTGGTGACGTAGCAGCGTCTGTCGGAAGAAGCCAGGCGTCAGACGCGTCAGTGGCCGTGGAGACGCAGCAGCGTCTGTCGGAAGGAGCCAGGCGTCAGACCTCTGCGCAAATTGAGCTGACTGAACATGGTGCTGGGTTGAGCCAAAGGAAGCTCTTCGTGTCGCCCCGATGGTCCGGCAGCGTTCGCTTCACTTCGTGGTGTGGGTCAAAGCAGCTACAGTATCGCACCAGCGTCAGTCGGATCGAGATAACGGCAGTAGCCCCTGATCAACAGCACGCGGAAAGAGACGGAGTAACGACAATAAAATGCGACTGACAGCACACGATGTAGGACGGAGTAGTCGTAGTCGCGCTCCAGGATATGTTGAACAGCACACAACGAGCTGGAATAACTGCAGTAGCCCCGGTTCACCAATGCACGGCTTGAGACACAGCAACATGTGTCCAACAGAATGAAGCTGAACCGGGTAACCGCAGAAGCGTAGATGGGACTGCCAACAACGTTCCGACCGAAGATCCACCGCAATCAGATTCTATGCCACGGGGATATCACAAGAACACAATATTACGAGCGGAGCGGCGAGGACCGCGTAACACTGTCGATCTCACCGCAGCCTCCTGGATGCCGTAGAGCTTGCCGTAGATGGTGGAGTCGCGGTTGGCGAACCCTTCCAGCGCGAAGCCGGGCAAGAAGTTCATGCGCTGTGACGACTTCAGCAGGCTGCCCGCTGGGATCTCGACCATTTTACCATTCAACAGGTAGCTGGCTCCCTGGAAAGGAATATTGCGCCTCTGTTACTGGCGCGTCATGACCATGTACGCTACCGTACTATGCACGCGTGCGACATTGTATCTTCCACATACATGTACCACATGATTGCAGTATTACTTAAACTATGCATGATGTGACTATGCCTAGGCATGATTGCAGTATGACTTAAAAGATTATCACTGAAGCCAGAGCAATGCTCACACCTCGCAAGTATGCGTTCGTGCGGTCACAGGTTGATGCCGAAAAAACATGAATACGATAACCTGAAAGTGGACCAACTGAAAACAAAGACAATAACTAACATAGCATGACCTCATTGCCAGGTAAACACTGGCAAAATCGGACCTTTCTGCGTCAATTTACCTGAGTGGTGTTGCGCAGGACACCTGTTGGTGACCAGGAGAACTTGTACCTCAATGCGTTGTCGGAACACTCCGGAGCGGGGAGGCCGCCGCAGTACGACACGAACGACCGAATTTTACCTGAAGGATTGCCCCAAGTTAGCAACACAACATCAAGCTGAATTTGCTAGAGCTTAATTTGGAAGGGTACTTTGAAGCCACTCAATACTGAATGAAAGCTTCGGAAAAGAACTGGAACAGAAACAAAAACCAGCATAATAGGGACTTGTGGCCGGGGCAACACATGCCGAATCGGAACTTTCTGCGGCATTTCACCTGAGTGGTGCTGCGGAAAACTTGCACCACGCCGAGCACACAAGCTTTTGGATCCAGATCTGCTCTGCCCGCATGGACCGACATATCCCTGAATTAAACCGCAGATACGCAGCCCAGTGCCTCGCGTATCTTCACATGTCCGTAGGCAATCAACAGCACACTACATAGGGATTCCACCCGTCAGAACGGCCCACGGTTATTTGCCGCCGCGTCTGCCAGCCATCCATCCACGTTTCGCTGCCACCTGTCCATCGTTCGCCACCGCCTGTCCACCCCGCTCCGCCGCCCACCCACCGCCCGCCGCCGCCCGTCCACCCCCCTCCGCCGCCTACCCACCGCCCGCCGCCGCCCGTCCACCCTCCTACGCCGCTCACCCACCACCCGCCGCCGCCCATCCACCCTGCTCCGCCGCCCACCCGCCACTCGCCGGTGCCCGTCCACCCCCCTCCGCCGCCCACCCACCGCCCGCCGCCGCCCGTCCACCCTCCTACGCCGCTCACCCACCACCCGCCGCCGCCCATCCACCCGGCTCCGCCGCCCACCCACCACTCGCCGGTGCCCGTCCACCCTCCTACGCCGCCCACCCACCGCCCGCCGCCGCCTGTCAACCCTCCTACGCCGCCCGTCCACCCTACTCCGCCGCCCACCCACCACCCGCCGTTGCCCGTCCACCCTCCTACGCCGCCCACCCACCGCCCGCCGCCGCCCGTCGACCCACCACCGCCGTGGTGAACCTCGTCGAAACAGTCCATGGCGAGGCAGTGGTCGATGCCCGGGTCCAGGCCGACCTCGTTCACCACGGTAATGTCGGCATCACGCGCTGCCTCGTCCAGTGCGCGCATCTCGGGCGTGCAGTAGCTGGCCGTCACCATGTTGGTTTTGTGCTGAATGCAGGCACGCGCCACCAACGGGTGCAGCACGTAAGGCAGCAGCGAGACGACGACGTCGGCGTCCTGAGGGTGAGGGGAACCGCCAGTGGGGTCAGGACGTCCGTGTCCTGGGGTGAGGGGAGCCGTCAGTGGGGTCAGGACGGCGGTGTCCTGGGGTGAGGGGAACCGCCAGTGGGGTCAGGACGTCCGTGTCCTGGGGTGAGGGGAACCGCCAGTGGGGTCAGGACGTCCGTGTCCTGGGGTGAGGGGAACCGTCAGTGGGGTCAGGACGTCCGTGTCCTGGGGTGAGGGGAACCGTCAGTGGGGTCAGGACGTCCGTGTCCTGGGGTGAGGGGAACCGTCAGTGGGGTCAGGACGTCCGTGTCCTGGGGTGAGGGGAACCGTCAGTAGGGTCAGGACGTCCGTGTCCTGGGGTGAGGGGAGACGTCAGTGGGGTCAGGACGTCCGTGTCCTGGGTTGAGGGGAACCGTCAGTGGGGTCAGGACGTCCGTGTCCTGGGGTGAGGGGAACCGTCAGTGGGGTCAGGACGTCCGTGTCCTGGGGTGAGGGGAGACGTCAGTGGGGTCAGGACGTCCGTGTCCTGGGGTGAGGGGAGCCGTCAGTGGGGTCAGGACGTCGGTGTCCTGGGGTGAGGGGAGACGTCAGCGGGTCAGGACGTCGGTGTCCTGGGGTGAGGGGAGACGTCAGTGGGGTCAGGACGTCGGTGTCCTGGGGTGGGGGGAGCCGTCAGTGGGGTCAGGACGTCGGTGTCCTGGGGTGAGGAGAGCCGTGAACGGGGTCAGGACGTCCGTGTCCTGGGGTGAGGGGAGCCGTCAACGGGGTCAGGACGTCCGTGTCCTGGGGTGAGGGGAGACGTCGACGGGTCAGGACGTTGGTGTCCCGAGGCGAGAGAGGCCGTCGACCATGACCCAGGCGTCCATCTCCTGACGGCGTGGTGAGATGTCCGAGTGTCTTCTCAGCAGGCACCGAGACCACCGTTATCCCTTGAACATGATCATGATGACGGCGCGATGTGATGTGGCTCACGCCCCGGGGAGGGGGATCAGTGCATCCCACACCCTTCCGTGCGATTGGACATCCTGTGTGGCTTCAGGAGAGGGAGCCAAGTCGACTAGACGGGTCAGATTCACGGACGCTCAGTACCGACCTCGACCAGTGTTGCCAGATGGTCGGGCCGCTCCGTCACGTCCAGGATGCCGCCCTCCACATTGCTGTACTTGCTAGTGAGCGTATCCAGTTCGGTCTGCACGGCGGACGCTGCGAGACAGAGACAGCTGACCTACAGCTCGGGGCTATGGAACGCCGGCGCGTGAACAAGGTCGAGAGTTTGCTTAATCAACAATCTCTTTGTTGTTTCCGTCCTGAACTTCATTTGTACCCCAGGACCAGAAAAGCCGAGACCGAGAAAGTTCGTGAGAACACAACGCCGAAGTGGCATGATGACGTACATCGCATTAAATACAACTGGACAAATGATGACAAACGACGCATGGGGTGAGCCAGAATGCTCAAGGTTTGTATTAATACGGCGCAGACAGCGTTCCTACGCATGGCGAAGAGCACTCTGGAAATCGCTTCTAGCCTCTTGTCATCTATCCCAAAGCAGTTCATTTAGTGAGAACATGCCTCCCAAGCAGTTCGCCTCATGCCATCATCCGGACCCATCCATCACCCCCGGCAGATAAATCGTCCAACATAAAGCAAAGCAACGACGCACGTCTGGTTATAGGACCCTTGTTCTCAGCATGGGCATGTTTTACTAGAAAATGCACCCAGGTTACCACGCACCCCAGCGACACAACTGCTCACTCGGCCGGTCAGCGGGAGGCTTGAGGCCACAGCTGAGGCGGGTTCTCACCGACGTGGATGTGCGTCTTGGGGTCACGAGACAGGTACTCCACCAGCGGCTCGGCCACGTAGCCGGAGCCCAGCACCAGCACCTTCTTCTCGGCCTGGGCGTGCGCCATGCAGGCCTTGTGTCGAGACCTGGCGCAGCGACAGCAGGCGCTCACGACAGTGGCGCAGGGCCGGCCGGGGCCGACACTGGCGTGGGCCCGGCGTACCGCGCGCGCTCGGCGCAGGCCCGGCTGCGGCAACTACCAGGAGTGGGGCCGCAGCCAGACACCACCCGCAGCTGGGCGCACAGGCAGCTGCCATCATATGAAGCGGCTCACAGAGCGCTGGGGGATTGCAAATCCAACTGTGGTACTAGAAATGATACACATTGAGTGCTGAAACGCATATTTGACCATAGCAACGTGCCACGCAGTTTGTTTACTTGACTGGATCGAGGATTTAAGCAGCGAGAACCAGGCCGCGGGTCGCCCACGTGCACGTGGTCCTACTGTCAAAGGCAGTACAGTAACGCAAAGGGTAGCGACAAGAGCGTAGCAAAAATCCAAAAACTGGATAGGTCAAAACTTTTGTTGATCAATTCTTACTAAGCATTATCGCCAACCTACTACTAAACATCCACTATAAGTGAGGGTTTATGGTCAACTCGGTCCCCGCTACTCCCATGTTTATGGGTACCGGGAGTGAGATGTAACCAATAGTTGCAGTGGGTATTACAAACACCTGTTGCATGGTTAAATTTCTGGGAATGGCTGTCATCAGGCCTTTTGCCAGTTAGTTCAGCATATAATTTATAAAGTACCCGTACGTGGTTTAGGAGCATATCGATTGCAGGATATCATATCGAAAGTGATGACATATTGTGCATCAGCGTGTAACGTAGTATTCGAACATTAACATAACTATTGCACACAAGTAACTTTTACGCTGCAATGCAACAGTTGCCGTCATTACGCTCATAAGAAGAAATGGGTCCGGCTGCGTCCGACTTAGAAAGCGCAGGGAGGTGGTGCGAAATGGGGGACAAGAACAGCAGTGCTCTGTCTCGTATGAACAATATTCTGTGCTAGCTTCCTAGATGGGAGGATGCGCAAACAACTATCAACGAACAGGTCATGTCAATAACAAAAAGCAACATGAACAAGTACTACGCTACTCCAAACACCACCAAACCGGTTGGCCTTCACTCGCCTAGAGCCGACCATTGCGCTTGATCAAACACCACGTGCCAAAATGGTGGGAGCTCGTGCTCACGCTGGCAGGGTGTTGAATACATCCCGCTGTGACTAATAAGTGCATGCTGAATGCCAGAGAGCAAGTCCGGTTCGCCATGGCCAAGACATTCACGACTGCATTCATCATTTTGCCTCCGTTACCGGTACATACTCACGCTGAAAGCGAACGATTGACCACGTTGTCTGATCCCGGCCGAACTCGGAACCGGTTCCATTGCGAGATTTATTTGGTTCATGCGATCTGATTTATTTCACAAATGCATCTCAGTCAGACTTTGACCCGACAGCTACAGATACCGTTTGGCCGAGACTAAGAATTACTCAACATCTTCTTCTAACCAGTACCTCGTCGTGGATTGAAAGTCAGTGATCTTACCTCAACAACTCAAGGCGCAAAAAACAAAGCAACATAAGTGGGGATTGGGCTTTCCTTACATACATCCCGGATATCACCAAAGCAGATCATTTCAGAAGTTACGTTAAATTGGCATCGTTCACTTTGACTTCCATAGGGTCTACCCGTGCCCATTCCAAAAATTACCTGTTCCAATCTATATCTCTTATGCTGAAGCCAGAAAATGTAAGGTCAGGTCACGGTTCAGGCTGGGTGAGATCAGTTAGACCACGCTGGGTTTTGTTACGCCTCATCGCGATGCCTATCCCTGGACGATCTCGGTCCAATAAATTACATCCTACATCCGGCTTATATCCCTGCGATACCCTTCACCCCGTGCGATTCCGCAGCCTGTCAGAAGCTTATGTGCACCCGAGCTGCGGAATCTGGTGACCCGTGGCTCGAACTCGGACCCGGCCTCACGCGCTTTAACTCGGACCCATGTCTGCGGGAAGCTGCCAGCACGCTGACACGAACACACAGCATAGGCTGATGGACCCCGGAGAGGCGCGGCTCGCAGGTGCGTTCAAGCTGCCAGGGCTTGGCGTGCCGACGACGCTACAGGCGTGCACACATACACACACGCCACAGTGTGTACACACAGTCGGCACACCGTGACGGGGCACACAGACGGACGAGCACGAGCTCTACCTGCTCTACGCACACGGTGGCATGTAGAGAGCACGCCGCGCGCGCATGCGACGACTAGCGACGAACCACAGAGGGCGTTTGACCAAGTATCGCGACAGCTAGAGTCTATGTCATCGACGGTCTCTCCCACAGAAGTGGGAGCCGGATCTGTATTTGTTAGCGGCCCCGGAAGCCAGAGGGGTGTTTGCAGAGTAACAGGGCTGTAGAACGGTCAAACATGTGACGATACTTGCTTTTTTGTCCGCGGATTGTCGTCAATTTTGAAAGGTTGCTAAACTTGGCATCAATTTGTGATGACAACGCATTTGTCACAGGACAAGTTCGCAAACACAACATAGCCGTCTATGATCAGCTTTTGTATGCTGTCAAACACTGGCTTTACTTTTCCTTCCGGAAACGATACTTGAAAACGCCCGTGGATGTTCACTCAAACGTGCAGCGAGTACTCATAATGTCGAACTACAAAATTTACCGCGAAGGTACCACGTAAGATGTGTTTCTTACCCTCTGAAAATACAGAGAACACCCGTTACGGCATGGAACCAACAAGCTTTACCAGCTTTATCCAGCTTCAACCAGCTTCAATCAGCTTAACCCGGCATCGCGCTCCCACGAAACAGCGAACAGGCGTCAAACAGCAGCCTCTTACTGAAGGCTGAAAATCCCCAGCGCCGTGTTTGTTTGTATCCTTCTCCCATAGGAAACAGCCAGACACCAACTATAGAACCACAGGACAAACTTTGTTCTAGGACCTTTGTTCAACAAAGGCCTTGGTGTTTGCGACGGAATCGAGGGCCAGTCATGCAAACATTGAAAGCCAGTGCAATCGTGCTCGTGTTTAGCCGCATCTGACTCCGTGAGGACAGTAGCACGTACTCAGAAGTCAACTCAGACCTGAAAAGCATAGCAGGTCTTAGCATGAAAATGAAGAATATATGGGTAGCACGCGCCGACATCAGATCTCACGGTCGACGTTACTTTAGGATCTTGAAGGACCTCCTTTTATCACGTTCGGGCCAACCATGTGGAAACTATATAGCCCATATGTATTGCCCTCGAGAAATGGCCATCAACGAGGCATTGTAAAAGGAGCGTTTCAACCACTGCAAGAAATCGGACAAAAAATCCACCAGGATTTCCAGGTTCTGCTTTGGTTTTTTCCGTCTCTCCTTCGACGTAAGATGAAATCGGCGGGTTAATCGAATGCGAAAACGCGAATGGAGGAAAGTGGTGGCTACTACGACATGAATACCACAGGCCTCTCTGGCCAACACCGCAACCAAAACATGGCCCATGGCCACGCCACCACAGCCGGCAGCAAAGTGATGCCAGAGGAACAGAATCACACGGCCGTGGAGCTCGCCGTCCCAAAAGACACAGGTTACGCGAAGACAGAGAGACGCGACAGGAACACACGTTGCCACGACAGCGTCTCGAGAAAATATGCCGCATGAAGAAGAGAGCGGACACCATCAGGGCTGGTATTAGCGCAAGATGGAAGATGTCCGCTTTACCAACAACACGTAAGACCGAAACGCACTCCTTTTGAGATGAGTAAGCTGACCTTTTCGCCACGTACCACAACACGTTTGTAATTTCCTCCAGCGCCCTCGCTATCAAACACTCACGTGAATCACGAAGTGATGGGGATGCACGTTCAGATAAGTGCACAGTTTAATCGCTCGAAAACGGTGATCATTCCGAACACGTACAACTATTACATCGTAACTACGTGAATCCTCCAGTGCAGGTGCGAGGAACATTTGATGAACATAATATCAGTACTTTTGGCCTCACTCTCACCAGGTAACTTGGAGAAAAAAGAGAGGTGTATTGGTATGTCAGCTATACGACATCGTCAAAACACTTGAGCGATAAACTCAAAACTGCTCGCCGATCCTAATCCCTTTTTAACTTAAAAAAGCAAGCCACAGTTTAAAAGGTTTAAAAAGGCACTCCGGGAATTATGCAGGGAGCGATTGTCAGACATCATTATGATGACAGATGAGCAGGTATGCATGATGCACGTTTCCTTGAATTCGTTTCCATGCTTTTATGAGAACAATATAAGATATTGTTTTACTTTCCTTGAATGTACTGCTCATGGATGTTTTGACAACGGCTTATCGACGAAAGATCAATACACATCTCTTTTTCGCCCAGATACGCAACAAGAAACAAACCCAATAGTACTGTTCTTATACATGTACAACAAACATACATGTAACAACATACATGGGAACATACATGGGAACAAACCGTACATGTACCATGTACCATGCACCATACCCGTACACGTTTTTCGAGTGCATACTTCAACACTCACCAACCCCTCGGCTTTTCTCCAATGGCATCGACCACTCTCAATAAAGGGCATCGTGAAGTGAAACGACAGTAATGTGCTCACCTGCTGCCTCTCCTCAGCTCGTCGATGTACTCGAAGTTGGGCGTCAGCCGACCATTGCTGGCAATCACAGCCTGTGAATCCACGCACATAGGGCTGAGCGTCTGATAGCGCATTTTGAGCGAAATGTAGTGCGTTTAGGGGAGCATTGCCAGCATTTCCCAGACGGGTCGCGTCTCACTTCAAACGACGGACGCGTTCCTCTTCAATCTCAGCAGCCAGGACGACCGGTCCTGCCCAACGCGAGCCGGCCGTGGCGCTGCTAACAACCGTACGCGCTGGCGCGGTCGCTGATGAATTTGAGTAGCTCTAGGCAGTAGATCACCGCGGGTTATGTGCTCGGCTACGTTCTCACGGCTTTAGTCTGTGCGCTTCATTGTCAGGGTTCAGCGCCATGCGTAAGAGCCATTTTGAAAGAGTGAAGAGCGAGGGCAAAACGCTTACATTTTTCACCACCGGGTTGAAGGGCTGCTGCTCGAACGGTCTGTCCGCGTTCGACTGCATGATGTTGTACACGTAAGGGAACAGCAGGGTGCCGAAGAAGTCGGTGGCCTCCCGCGGCAGCTGAGTGGGCATGTTGTCTATGCTGCACACCAACACGCCAGGGCCGCGGAAACTGAAGACAAACAAACGTAGCGTGCCGTCAGCGGGCCCGCCAGCGCGCGGCGCAAACACATCTAGACGTAAACATTTTTAGATGTCCGTAATGTCTGGAGCCAGAGCTTCTTGTCCACTCCATTACACAACATCTGAACCGTGGTCACCACAGAGATGCGCCAGTACCAGCCAGAAGAGGTGCCTAGCTTAGCGTCACTGTGTCCCGCGCGACCCCTGCCAACACAACTGTGCGTTCTCTAGGTGCGGCAAGTCGTACCTGGAAATACCACCGCATCACTGCGGCGGTATTTAAAGCGGCAAACTTACCGCTGACACATCACAACTGCCCTTTCCCTCAAGTCGTACCTGGAAATACCACCGCATCACTGCTGAAGCGGCAAACTTATCGCTGGTGCATCACAACTGTCCTTCCCCTCAAATCGCACCCGAAAATACCACCGCATTACTGCTGAAGCGGCAAACTTACCGCTGATGCATCACAATCGCCCTTCCCCTCAAGTCGTACCTGGAAATCTCCACCAGGCCGTCTGAGGTGGCCCTCTACACCTCCTCTGGCTCCGCTCAGCCCTCTTCACCGCCGCGGGGCCCACCTGTTGGCGTCCTTGTTCTGGTCGGCGTCGTACAGGCAGAACGGCGAGTCGATGGTGGTGCACTCGGTCATGAAGTCGATGGAGCCTCCGGGGTCGGCGCTGATGTCACACAGCGCCACCATGCGGTGCGGCAGCGGCGGCGAGCCTGTCCCCGGCACAGACCGTCACCAGTCAGTCAGGCAGACGGCCGAGCGTCACAACGGCCCGGCCCAGGCCGGCGCGCCAGGTGAGCCACCCGGCGGCGCTGTCACCCGGGCGTCACAACAGCCCGGCCCAGGCTCGCGCGCCAGGTGAGCCACCCGGCCGCGCTGTCATCCGGGCGTCGCAGCAGGCGCGCGACGCTCTAGAGCCAGCGGCCATGGCAGGGGGTGGTCTCGACGAAACGACCATCCAGCTGAACGACTTTTACGAGCGTCGACGTCCCGTGACGTCACAGAGGCCCAAACTGGCGAGCGACACTGGCCATGGAGCCAGGACGTGCGCCCCACGGGGCTGGAAGCTTGCAGTCACTGGTCATATAGCCAGGACGTGCGCCCCACGGGGCTGGAAGCTTGCGATCACTGGTCATATAGCCAGGACGTGCACTCCACGGGCAGGACGTTTACGATCACTGGTCATGGAGCTAGGACGTGCACCCACGGAGCTGGAAGCTTGCGATCACTGGTCATGGAGCCAGGACGTGCACCCCACGGGGCTGGAAGCTTGCAATCACTGTTCATGGAGCCGGGACGTGCACCCCACGGGGCAGGATGTTTGCGATCACTGGTCATATAGCCAGGACGTGCGCCCCTCGGGGCTGGAGGCTTGCGATCACTGGTCATATGGCCAGGACTTGCGCCCCACGGGGCTGGAAGCTTGCGATCACTGGTGATATAGCCAGGACGTGCGCCCCGCGGGCAGGAGGAAGTTTGTGATCAGCCCCCACCATCGGGTGACCCCGGTATGGTGCGGAATGGCACGCGCACGGTCACCGCCGGATGCACGCTGGTAAAAAACGGTCGCAAATTAGCAATTCATCGGAACAGCGATGTGTTGCACCACCTTAACGTGCTCCCACCAGCTGTCAGCCTAGCTCCGTACGGACTCAAATTTGTTACAGCATGGCAAGTTGTTTCCTCTCGTTCCCTTCAAAATGATCGAAAACCGGATCTTATCCGGATGCTTCACATATAATGTCCATAACAACAATACGGCTGGCGATGAAATGAAGATAGATCAAACCGGCAGTTCAACTGGTCAGAGCGCATGCCCTCCGCTACACCCAACCACGACTGGGTGGGTTCGGCCGCTTTAGGCGCTAGTGATTTGCTTGCGACTGGAACAGCCTGCGGCCGGGAGCAGCGACCGCGCTGATGGTCCGATGACTGCAGAGGACAGAACGGACTGTGTGCCGAGACTTGTGGCACGTTGAGCACTCGCCGCAAACTTGTGCCGTTGACTCCGAATTTCACGATCGGTTGGAAGGGTCAGGCTTCACACCGTATGTGCTGTTCGGCTTTTCTCAGAAATCATTTCTCTGACGTTTTGACGTTTCTCTCAGAAACCCATTCAATAAAGCTGTTTGAACTTAATCCTTGAAATAAACTACCTCTCACATAGGTACGAGCTATCCTGAATCCGCACTTTCATTGCAAGCCTGCAAGGTTATAAAGCTACACTATATGCCACAACAAAGACCTTACACTCTCTGCAAGGAATCGGCTCAAATATATGCAGCCAAACTGTAAAATCACCCGCATGTGCGATACACAAATCACGAGGCATGAGCAAACAACACCTCCAGTAGCATGTCACACACTCCGCAGGGATGACAATTTTGGCCGGTGATGTGATGCTCGGCACCGAGCCGCCCGGCTGCCTGTGGGTGCCTGCCAGTAGCCTGTGGGTCTGACCTGCTGTTTTGGCCGGTGATGCGATGCTCGGCACCGAGCCACCCGGCTGCCTGTGGGTCTGACCTGCTGTCTTGGCCGGTGATGCGATGCTCGGCACCGAGCCGCCCGGCTGCCTGTGGGTGCCTGCCAGTAGCCTGTGGGTCTGACCTGCTGTTCTGGCCGGTGATGCGATGCTCGGCACCGAGCCACCTGCCTTCCTGTGGGTCTGACCTGCTGTCTTGGCCGGTGATGCGATGCTCGGCACCGAGCCGCCCGGCTGCCTGTGGGTCTGACCTGCTGTCTTGGCCGGTGATGCGATGCTCGGCACCGAGCCACCTGCCTGCCTGTGGGTCTGACCTGCTGTCTTGGCCGGTGATGCGATGCTCGGCACCGAGCCACCTGCCTGCCTGTGGGTCTGACCTGCTGTCTTGGCCGGTGATGCGATGCTCGGCACCGAGCCGCCCGGCTGCCTGTGGGTCTCACCTGCTGTTTTGGGAATCCACGGCTGGCTAACTGGCTGGAGCAGACGTTTGGCGTCGGGCAATGTCAGGATCTTGGGCGAGTTCACCGCCCAGTAGATGCCGTTCACCAGGCACGACACATACGGTCCGATCTGAAGGCAGCCATGGTTCGTACGCGTTGGTATAACACGTCCATCAGTGTCAACCATGACACCAGGCGCGTGTGCAAGCCTCACGTGCGAGCTCAAAACGTCCTGCACCGGCGGTATATACTGGGTGTAGTGTATCACACTCCCAGCTCCAGAGGTCTACTACAGTGGGTGTAGTGTATCACACTCCCAGCTCCAGAGGTCTACTGCTGTGGGTGTAGTGTATCACACTCTCAGCTCCAGAGGTCTACTACAGTGGGTGTAGTGTATCACACTCCCAGCTCCAGAGGTCTACTACAGTGGGTGTAGTGTATCACACTCCCAGCTCCAGAGGTCTACTACAGTGGGTGTAGTGTATCACACTCCCAGCTCCAGAGGTCTACTACAGTGGTGTAGTGTATCACACTCCCAGCTTCCAGAGGTCTACTACACTGGGTGTAGTGTATCACACTCCCAGCTCCAGAGGTCTACTACAACTGGGTGTAGTGTATCACACTCGCAGCTCCAGAGATCTACTACAGTGGGTGTAGTGTATCACACTCGCAGATCCAAAGATCTGCTACACTAGATGTGGGTATCCCACTCCAGCTCCAGAACTCTACTACACTCGGTGTAGTGTATGACACTCCCAGCTCCAGAGATCTATACACGGGGGTCATGTATCACACTCACAGAATCCAAAGATCTGCTACACTAGATGTAGTGTATCCCACTCCCAGCTCCAGAAATCTACTACACTGGGTGTGGTGGATGACACTCCCAGCTCTAGAGATCTATAGCACTGGGTGTAGTGGTATCCCACTCACAGATCCAGAGATCTACTTGTGGATTCATTTCGTTCGACCAGCGATGAACCAAGGTCATTTGATCCCACGTCCCGAGTTTATCATAAAATACCCTCCAATAAAGTATAACTTTTATGCGTGTGGTAAAACTCAAAGGCAACTGACGAATGACCTTTTTCTACAGTCCTTGATGGCCACAGCAATGGCAAACAAGACCCGAGATGGTGCTGGGCACCGGTGTATGGTGCTGGGGACCAGTGTCGAGCTGGAAACCGGCTCCCACCTTAGTGTCGAAGGTCGAGATGGTGCTGGGCACCAGTGTCGAGCTGGGAACCGGCTCCCACCTTAGTGGCGAAGGTCGAGATGGTGCTGGGCACCGGTGCCGAGCTGGAGAACCGGCCCCTATAACCGGCTCCCCACCTTAGTTGGCGAACGGTCGATAGATGGTGCTGGGCACCGGCGAGCTGGGCTCCCCCTTAGTGGCGGAAGGTCGAGATGGTGTGGGCACCGGTGCCGAGCTGGGACCGGCTCCCACCCTTAGTGGCGAATGGCTCGAGATGTAGCAGCTCGGGGTGCCTCCTTCCTAACTTCCTCGGCGTTGTAGCCGCCGACCGTTCGCGGCCTCTCCAGGTAGTCGGGCCCGCGACACCTCGCAGCAGTACACCTTGTTTTGTGCTGCCGGCGCGCCCGCCAGTCACCATGGACACACGGATACCAACCACCAAGTACACCTATGGGCACACCGGATACACACCACCAAGTCACACCATGCTGAGCACGCCGGGTCACACGGATACACACACCAAAGTACACCCATGCCTGAGCCTCCGGGCTTCACACGGACACACACACCAAGTACGCCCTTGCTGAGCCGCCGGGTCACACGGATAACCACACCAAGTACACCATGCTGAGCCGCCGGGTCACACGGATACACACACCAAGTACACCATGCTGAGCCGCCGGGTCACACGGATACACACACCAAGTACACCATGCTGAGCCGCCGGGTCACACGGATACACACACCAAGTACACCATGCTGAGCCGCCGGGTCACACGATCCACCAGTACCATGCTGAGCCGCCGGGTCACACGGATACACACACCAAGTACACCATGCTGAGCCGCTGGGTCACACGGATACACACACTAAGTACACCATGCTGAGCCGCCGGGTCACACGGATACACACACCAAGTACACCATGCTATACCGCCGGATACGACTCCCCATCAATCAGATTGGACCAATCTTGTTTTGGCTTTGGTGCTCCGCTGCGATACTAGCTACACTTGTCTGTTCGAGGCAGTAAACTGCACGTGTAGGGACATCGCGTGCATGCACTGTGCATGACAAAACAACCATTTTTGGTGCTCTGCCAGGACAGTCTTGATCGCACTTGCAAAAACGCATGTTGCGGGTTTTTCCCGATGTCTGCAGTTCGATGGACAGAGGATTGCTTCAATGACCCGGGGCGATACCGTGCCCTCGGGCAGGGCCACGGGGCCGAGTGGACTATAGAAGGCAGACCCTGCTTGTGAGGCGGCGCGGTCGGCACAGCGTCTATCACACGACACAGCTATCGCTGCTGTTCAGCTGCTGCCGCCAGTTCCTGAGCAGCAGCGGTCGGCACAGCGTTCACCACGCGACACAGCGATCACTCCCAGCAGCTGCCGCCAGCTCCTGAGCGGCACCGGTCGGCACAGCGTTCACCACACGACACAACGATTACTCCCAGCAGCTGCCGCTAGCTCTTGAGTGGCAGCATTGCTGGAAACATACAAATAATCCTCTATTTTGGTGATCAATGCGACGTGTTTTTTTTAAAAGTTTTTTTCGTTCTTACAACAAATATGCAAAATGTCGCCAACGAGAACTCAAGAGGACGTTGCCGCCGCATTTCAAAAAATCTGCAGACATTTCGTCTGAGGACACAGGGGAGCACTGACATTGGAAAAAGGCAAAAGTTCAGAAACAGCTATGACTGACTTCTTTTCCTCCTAGATCAGCTGCGCGGGCGATTATCCAGCGCAACCGGGCGGACCCCAGGCGGGCCCCTGCACCCGCACCCAGGCGGACCCAAGGCGGGCCCCTGCGCCGCAACCGGGTGGACCCGGCTCAAACCAGCGAGGCAACATGCCCGGCCAGGACCGACGTAAACATTGCCTGTCCGGTGCGTTCAGTACTGGTTCCTCAGCCCACAACCAGGACCACAGGACCACAGAACCACAGGACCACTGCAGTCTATTCACCCTCACCACTGGTCGCTACAGCTGGCGCTGACCGACCCCTGACGCCCCCCCCCCCCCCCCCCCCCGCCTCCTCCTGCCACGACACTGACCTCCGTGCTCGGCCACCTTCTGCAGCATGTCGGGCGGCACGTACTCGTGCGGCAGCTCCTGGATAATCTCCTGGGCGCCCTGCGACACGTTGCCCGAGCCGGTGAAGACGAACGTGAGGGCGCCGAGCGAGCGCGGCATCATGCCCAACGAGATCTCGTAGCCGGCGTCACGCACCGCCTGTCGCGCCATCTCCGAGTTGCGGTAGTTGTGCGCCGGTCCGATGTGCTGCGGAGGAGGCGCCACCGGCGCGGGTTACACGCGGAACTCGGTACGGACGGTGGAGGGGCTGCAGCGAGGGGCGGCCCCGAACAGGTCAGACCAGACATCCAACTGCAAAATGCTTCGGCTTAGCCAGAACCTGACCTCGATCGTTATATTATGCACAGTATGTGGTACGTGATGTGCACCCCGCATGATGCGTCACCAGAAAAAGTTGTTGAGAGCCCAGCGACGCACATTTCGAGTGTGGAATATTATACGCCATATGTTACGCATTTCGTTTGAACCAATAGTATCCCGCCGCAGCCGAAATGCATCGAAATGTAAAACTAATTAAAGTCAGGCTGCAGTCGTGACAAGCTCACCGCATCAGGAAATCTGACGGACTAGAGCCGCGCACCTCAATCCCGGCCGGCTCTCCCTCGCTTACCATGAATGGCGTGTGATGTCCCAGCGCCAGCAGACGAAGTCCCATGCCATGCATGATATTGATCATGCCGGCGACGCCCGCGTACTTTCCGAAGGCCACCACGCGCTGTCCGCGTTCGTCGCACATCCTCTCATAGTCCAGCAGGCGGATGTTCTGAAGCATAGCGGGTGGGACGGGCATCACAGGTTGCAAGCTGTAAGAACTTTCCGAAAGCCACCGCGCACTGTCCGCGTTCGTCGCACATCCTCTCATAGTCCAGCGGGCGGATGTTCTGAAGCGAAGCGGGTTGGGAGGGCATCACAGGTTGCAAGCTGTAACAGCGTTCAAACTGTGCAGTTGTCAATATCACGAGGGGTAAATTAGGACTGTAAGTACGCTATCTCTGCACAACCCCCACAACGCATGATCAAGTTCCGAAACACGGGGCCTGGAGACCGAGAGCGTCCAATTAGATGCGAAGTTCTACACACGCACACAAGGGTCCAGTGCAAGTCAAATGTTTGTCAGGGACATGCTGAACGACGCCTATGATAATATAGTGGAGATCTGTAGTACCTCTTATGGCAATCGTCCGTCCGTTTATGCGTTTAGCATCCTCGCTGCATAGTAGTTTAATGCTGGTGACTGTAATCTCCGTCACATACTGGGATCGCACATTATCTCAGCGTAAACGGACAGTGCAGCCTGTCGCGGTGACGTGCGAACGACTACCGCCCGTCTCTCCGCCCCGCCCATCACGCGGCTTCTCCACCGACGTAAGAGTCATTCACGTGCATTTCATGCAGGTGGCCACCAGGAACGAGAGTGCCAGACGCCGTCCTGCAGTGTCTGCCGCACAAGTTGGTGGCATTGGCGTCTGGCGATCAATGCCCCCATAATCAATGGTGTGGCCTGGACCGCTCCACAAGCACTTCCTCGTACGTTACTGGCGACTGGCAGCACGCACTACGCAGTGCGTACGCATCGCCGCCACAGCCCTGACCGGGCTGCGCACGCCCGCTGGCCCCCGTCCAGCCCAGACCACCCTCATCACGTGACCGCCGCGCCAGAGTGCATTACTCCGAACCGGCCGGCGGCGCAGATGGGGCCGAGGCGCGTGGTACGGCCTGGGGGGCGTGTGGCGCGCGCGGCAGCCGCCAGCTGGCCGCCCGTCGGGCCACTCTGGGTCAGGGTCACGACGACATGCCGCTGCCAGATCTGCGCAGACTAAATGT